CCCCCCAAAAGAAAGAAAAAAATCTTATAAATAATATGTAACATACATACTTATAAATTTTATTCATCTTTCATTTTATGCCATCATTTTATTCCACCATTTTTGTTTTCACAAAAGCATGTTACATTTTCCCACGAGTAAAAAATTGTTCGAGACCTATTTAGAATTACGCCGAAGTTCTGGCAACGAATGAGTTTCAATCTGACGTTCGTTGTCCTTTGGGGAGGTCAGGACACGGTTTCGAGAATCTGACCTAAATCGTACGTGATGGCGTCGCGTTTCTGCATTACCGAACGAGGTTGAATGATTTAGACGTCACGCCGCACCCGTCAGCCGCCAACTTTATCCAGCTGCTAATAAATCTCCCTCTTTCTTTCTTTCCCTCTTTCTTTCTTCCTTCTTCTACCCGCTTTCGTTTTGCCGTGGATCGAGTGCCCTTCCACGTGTCACTGCTAATTCTCTCACTCGATCGAATCGACTCTGCAATTGGAGGCAACTCCGCACACCGACATAGTAAGCTTCAAAAGTTTCTGCCTCTTGATTCACTTAACTCTTTGAGACACTTTACAGAAAATATTGTTACTCAGAATTTTTTTTAGTACACTTTTGGAAATAATGTACATTTTTAATATGAACAAATAATGTACATTTTTAATATGAACAAATAATATACATTTGTAATATGAACAAATAATGTACATTTTTAATATGAATAAATAATATACATTTGTAATATGAACAAATAATGTACATTTGTAATATGAACAAATAATATACATTCGTATTCTGAACAAATAATATACACTTGTAATATGAACAAATTGAAATAATATACATTTGTAATATAAACAAATGAAAATAGTGTAACTTTAATATAAACGTTTTACTTATTTAACTTAGAAAAAATTTTTTGAAGTTAAGATACATCCCATCATAAAGGCACATGTGACAGTTTTAAACTAACCTAACCTCAAAGAGTTAAGAGAAATTGCAAACATTGTCTACTCAAACTGTTTATTTTGAAAGTGAAGCCATTTAGATATAATATAACCAATACTTTAAATACTAAACATACTAAATAATCAATTCAGTATGAATAATACTGTGACTAATAAACAGCGTAATTCACATAATAAACGTACATTAAATAATTCCATAAAATACAACAAATTTGTCTATCAGCACTTAGCAATATTTTCACATGTATTCAAATGCAAATCTTTCAGTATTATACTAACAAAAAATAGACTTAAATAAACTCAGTATTATACTGATAAAAAATAGACTTAATTAAAAGGCTCCGTTGATGACATTAGATTAACCTTCTGGGAAAGCGCAGACTTTCTTGATCTATATTTTTATTTTGGAACTGTTGTGTAACGTAGGATAACCCTTCTGGAGAAAAGCCAACCTATTAAGTAAATTATAAAATTAGAAAAAGCAGAGAAAGTGTATTGTAAATTTCATAAATAAAAATAGTAGTAACTTACTATTAGTTGCTACCTAATAATAATTTGTCATAATAATAATATAATAAAAATTTGTCATAATAAATAATAACAGTAATAAGATATTACCTGGCCCACTTTCAAAATAAACATATAAAATTAGGTGCAGATTAAACCATTGAATAAAAGAAGAGGGATGGTAACCTGTTCGAAAAGACATCCAAAGAATGTAGCCAATCGGCGTTCGCGTTACGGACGAGCGACGTATTTATTAGCATGCACCGACATTTCAACCTCGTAATCTCGTTACCGCGGCCTCTTACATAAAAGAACGAGATGCACTCGCGTCTTGTACGATGACGTTGTCTCGCTGTTCTGAGAAACAACCGATTAATCGGACGAGGATGCACGCACGACCTCCTCTTGTTCGTCGATGATCCCGCAGCATTTCGATCGAATGAAATTGTTCTTCGCACGTTCCGCGACAGCTTGCACGATATCAATCGACGTGATGTGTTTGCACCCGGTGTTAAGGCTAGTTTACATTCGTTGAATAAGCGATACAGGAGAATAGTGCAAGTAACGTGTCTCCGTACTGCTATTACTTTTTTTGCTGGCTTTTAAGACTGGTTTACATTGATAGAGTTAATAGTAGAGTATAACGCGAGTGTTAGAATTGATTGCATACGCTGTCATTTCACTTTTGTTTGCTTTGAGGTTAGGAGTAACGGTGACGGTGTTGATGAAGTGGGTGCAATTATTTCACTGTAATTTAATTACTATTTGGTTTATTTTATATTTGATAGATTTAGTTTTACTTTAATTTAATATATTTTATTACACTTTAATTATATTTGTTATACTTTAGTGCTTTTAGTTTATTTTATTATACTAATTTCTGTATGGTTAGGTTAGGTTAATTACTATTTGGTATATTTTATATTTGATATATTTAGTTGTACTCTAATCTAGTATACTGTATTATATTTTACTTGTGTTTGTTATACTTTAGTGCTTCTAGTTTACTTTTTTATACTGATTTCTGTATGGTTAGGTTAGGTTAATTACTATTTTGTATATTTTATATTTGATATATTTAGTTGTACTCTAATTTAGTATACTTTATTATACTTTACTTGTGTTTGTTATACTTTAGTGCCTCTAGTTTATTTTATTATACTAATTTTTGTATGGTTAGGTTAGGTTAGGTAGTAACAAAATATTTGATATATTTAGTTGTATTTTAATTTAGTATATTTTATTATACTTAAATTACATTTCTTATTCTTTAGTGCTTTTAGTTTATTTTATTATAATAATTTTTGTATGGTTAGGTTATAACAAAATATAGTGTTTTGTCATATTTAATCATTTAGTATAAATTATTATACCCTAATTAGTATATTTAGAACATGTCATTATATTTTAGTTACTACATGTATACTTTGTTAAACCTTAGTGTTTGTTTATTTTATTATACCTAACCTAACCTAACCTAATTAGTATAGTTTGTACTCTAATTAGTTTAATATACTTTATTATATTTTATGTATTATCCCTGTACAGTAATTAGTATAGCATACTATTTACTTTATAATAATTACATGTAAAAATATTTTGTTGTCTTAATTTGTTTATTTGTATGTTGTATTATACTTTAATTAATTTATTTCATGTATTTATTACACCTATTGTAAATAGTATTTTTATTGTACTCTATTATACTTTTATTAAAATATATCATGTACTTCATTAAATTTTAACCCTAATATTTAATGTACTTCATTAAACCTCATTAATTCGTTTAATGAGCTTGCCTGCGTCCAAATTTTAGAAAATATACAAAATTTCATGTGGAACTTGCGAAGCTTATTCTTTACTCATACGAGACGTGATGTGGTCGATAATTGAACGATCGAGATAGACTGCTGTACTCATCGAGCATGATGTTTTAATTGACACTCCACGAACTCCCTGTCGCACTTCTGTGATTCTATAGTACTTTTTGTATTTATGATACACATATCTAAATTTCCTGCTTATGGGAGAAATAATGTAATAATTAATTCAGCATATAATTCTATCGGTACCGCCATTTTGTTTACCATAGTGGTCAGCTGTAATGGCTCACAAGTATATGGTACAATAATTAAAATCTGAAATAAAGATCACAGAAGTGAAATGCTTACAGAATTTTTAATATATTCTGTCATTGATCTGTGTATGTATTTTTATAGTATTTTAAAATTTGTTAAATTTACTAAAATGTTTGCAATATATTAGGAATTTAATGTAAAATGTGTAATATATCAAAAATTTAACATAACATATGTTATATATTAAAAATTGAATATATGTAATATATTAACAATTTAATATAACATATATTATATATTAAAAATATAACACATCAATGTAACAGAAAATTAAATTCTTTAATAAATAATTGAATTTTAAACAATTTTGAATATAAATATAAATAAATTTCCATTACTCTTGTTGATAGTAAATTATTTTTATAATGAAATTTGACTCAGTGCACTTATATGTTAAACCTAATTTTAACCTACGATTTCTTACTCCGTTGATTAAAATATTTTTTATTCTATTTGTAATGAAAATATTTGTAATTCCTTATGGAACGTACATACTTTTCCATTACTATGTATTACGTAATTTCGATTTTCCATTCGTTTTTTGCGCTTGTTGACTAGAGCGTTCTTTTTTGTTGCAAGTTACACAACCATACCTCCTGTAAAAAATTCCTGGAGACATGAAAACGAGCCTACGATTGATATAAGGTGTACCGGAAATTTTTGATACAACTTTCTAACATTTAACTTTATATTTTTATATATTTATTAAATTTCGTTCATTGTTTATTAATGTGGTATTCATTTTGAACCTGTTGTTCAAATACAAAAAAAAATGTTTATAAATATTTATTGTAAAATATGAAATGTGTATAACATTTTTTCAGTAACTAATTAAATTAACAATTGAGAGATATTTTAATATCATGAGTACATCAGTAAATTGGTTTTGTAATACTTTTGTTTATTTATTTTATTATTGTCTTTTGGTTTATTTAATAAAATATCATTTTTCATATGTTATATATGTAGTACATTTTAACATATCAGTACATATATTTGTTACTTCGAACAATATATTGCATATCCATATTATTTACCTTCTCGCTAGTTGCACTTCTGTATGCATACTAAAATTTGCAGTCCATTTAACACTTCAGCCAACTGCACTTCACAAATGTTACAAGATTCAATAACGAAAAAAAAGAAACAGAAAATCTGCACATATAAAACAACACACAATTTACAAAGACAAAATTTACCAAATATTGTGTTACGGAATTAGGTTAGGTTACCATATTATACAAAATGTCCACATCTTGTTTTATTTGGACGAGTATCACAAACGTTGCACTTAAAATTCGTTAACTTTTTCAAAAGCTTTCAAACACCACAAAACAATGTTTCACCTTCAACACATTTTTAATAAAATCTTAAAAATTGATGTTCCATCGCCATTTTATTCACAACGAAATACTGTACACGGTCACTAAGATAGTATAATGTATTTATTTACGGAGACCTTGCGGAGACAGGTTAGGTTACCATAATGCACGAAATGTCCGCGTCTCGTTTTATTTGTACGAGTATCAGCCTTGTTCGGAATTCGAACGAGCTTACCTGTTGATGTGATCGAATGAAAATTCTGGAAACGCGCGATCGGTGACGAAACTGTTAACGTAGCTGCATTTTCACGCGACTGAGCTCGAGAATTAGTCGAATGCCGGCGAATTTCGATAGTTTGACCTGTTGCGTCGAACCGTTCGAGAACCGGGACTTCGATCGATTGAGAAACGAATCGGGAACGAAACATTCCGCATAGTTTGTCCAAGTTTCGGTACGACTGTCATTTTCTGTCTCATAAATCGTTGATACACTAAGGGCAACTGTGTGAGGGTGCAAGGTCACGGGGTACAAGTGACGCGTTATGGAGGGTAGCTTTTCAATTTTGTATGATTTGAAAATTTTCAAACCCAAGATTCCTATGTTTATAAATTACCAACTCCACAATCTTAATTATCCAGATTTCCTAATTTTTTAATTAACCGTATTTGCAATTTTTTGTTAAAATATGAAAATTTAAATATTGGTATAATAGTTGGTGGTATTTAATGCAATCAAGTGTAACAATCAGAGGATCTGCACAATTAAAATTTTATAATTTCAATGAGATTTGATATTAGCACGTAGAGGGCGATACCCGCGAGCCGTTCACTGGGCACTTCATCCGCCCCTTCACTACTTCACAATAATCAGTTGATAGACACTAGTTCACTTAATAAACACTACTACATTTGTTGGACACTATTATACTTAATATACATTACTACACCTATTAGACACTATTACACTTAATATACACTACTACATTTATTATACAACAGCTGATAAACATTACTACACTAAATGAACACTATTACACTTAATATCCACTACTACATTTAATAGACACTACTACACCTAATGTATACTGTTACATTCAATAGACACTACTATACTTGATAAGCATTACTACACTTATCAGATACTACTACACTAAAAGAATACTATTACACTTAATATGTATACACTACTACACTTATTAGACACTAGTATTCTTGATAAACACTACTACATTTAATATACAATGCTACATTAAATAAAAACTATTACTCTTACTATACACTACAACACTTAATAGAGACTACTACACTTAATAAACGTTACTATACTTACCAGACACTACTATACTTGATAGACAGTGCTAATACTTAATTAACACTACTACACTTGATATACAATACTACATTTAATAAACACTATTACATCTCATATACACTACTGCACTTAGACACTATTATACTTGATAAACACTACTATACTTGCTAAATGCTACTGTACTTGAAAAAACACTACTACACTTAATGTACACTACTGTACTAATAAACACTATTACGCTTGATAAACACTATTACACTTATAAACACTACTATACTTGTTGAATGCTGCTATACTTGAAAAAACACTACTACACTTAATGTACACCACCACATTTAATGAACACCGCTACCCTTAATAAACACTACTATACTTGATAAACACTCCTACACCTATCAGTTACTACTATACTTGATAGATACAACTGTCCTCAATAAACACAATTATACTTGCCCTACACTAACACACTCATACACAACTACATTCAATACTACAACCTCCATAATCTTTTTGAACGTCATTCTACCCTTAATAACAAATCGCACCATAAAAAGTCTCCCGTCCCCGTCCGTTTCGCTGGACCGAAATTGGGTCCCTCACCACCCCTCTATCGGCACCATTCACATCGTGTTAATCATGCCCTGAGACCAATTGGCACTTTTAATTTCGGCAGGCGCGCTCATGAAAGACGCGGATAAGCTGAAGCTGATGCTGCTCGCGTGGAATTATAATCTTCAACAGCAGGCTCAGGCTCAGGCCCAGGCCCAGGTACAGGCCCAGGCCGCCAACGCGGCCCTCTCGCCAAATAACTCCTCGACAACCACGGCCACCACCGTTGGCACACCTGTCACCAGCCAATCGGCCATATCCACGGCAAACAACACCATTAACAACTCCACACTTACAGGTAACACCTTATTTCATCGACGAAATCGGGTCCTCCGTATTCTTTGCAAGTGGTGCGTTCACGCTGTGGGATGAAGTCTCGTTTCATACATTTGCATGAAACCTGAATTACTTGACCATGCAAACGTGTTTGAAAGTAACGTCTCTCAAGTGTAGAGGAAAAAATAGATGCCATAACAGGGCGTTTCAGAACTTGTGGACGACTGTAGGTTCTAACTTGACCCTATTTCAGAGTTTTAGCCATAATGTGACAACTGAAAGATCACATTGACTAACCTAACCTTTTAGAATTATGAACCTGAAAAGCTTCCTGAACCCCAGACAAACCTCAACCCGACAGAAGCTTGATATTATGAAACACCCTGTACTCTAATGAAACTATAGTCATTCGTGTATAATTAAGAGTAGTGCTTTGATACTTTGTGGACGTGTTGTGACCATGGTTAACTAGTGATTCGCAAAGTTTGGTGCAAATCGGTGAAGCCAACGTGAAGACTTCTCCTCGTGAGCGAACAAATGATCGTTCCATCCCAGTGTTAGAAATTCTTTTACACTTTGTGGACGATGAGAACTGGCATTAGTTTAGTGTGAACGCACCATTACGATCGTGTGAAGTGAACAACGGGTGGTTTAATGGCGGCCAGCATGAGTTAAGGAAGTCGATATTTTTTTCTTTTATTTAGCGTGCTGTTTGTTGGTAATAGTGTTGGTACTGGTAGTTTTATTAGTTTATTTTGTGGATTTTTTTGTTGGTAATTTAGTTATTTGGGTGGTGTCCGAGTTGAACAGAGAACTCTGAATATTTATTACAAATTGATTTGAAGTATATTGTGTTTGAGAGTTGAGTACATTATTCAGTTTAGGGTATCTTTGATATTATTATACAAAATATATTATTGATTAGTGATTTTAAAGTTGTTTTATTTTTTAATATTTCTTGAGAATTCTGCATGAATATGATTTTGTAGAATTTACGTTTATTGTTAAATTTCACTGCTTAAAGAGAATTTTTAATTTTTATATTTGGTGGTACACTTAAATTTCTGAATTTGAAAATTTAATATTTCTGTATTTTTGAATTATTAAATTTCTCAATTTTTAAACGTAAATTTGTAAAATTAAGTATTTAAAAAATAGAGAATTTTGTATTTGTAGTTTTCAAAGTTCTAAAAATCCAAGTGACCAAACTTGTAAATTTGTGAACTTAAAAATTGTATAATTTGCAAATTTGAAACTCTTCTCCTGAATAAATTAAAATTTTAAACTTGCAAAATTCCAAATTACCAGATAACAATCACAAGAATCAGACATTCGCATAAACCAAAATCTTTTCATCTCAAAATTCAAGGTTCCAAGTTCCCAAACTGCTAAATCCAAATTTGAAATATTTACAATTGAATTTCCTTAAAATAAACAGAAATCAGAAAACACCGCATTGTCACCGATTATGGTCGTAATTATCGTCGGCACAGTAAGCAAAAAGATAACATCGACAAAGCGTAAGTATAACAGGAGGTGCCACTCTGACAAAAAATTACATCTAAAGAGAGACGGAATAATACAAACAATTTAAGTTACCATGCCAAATACGAGCTGGTATTTCAACATATTCCGAAGAATGTACACAGTGTGCATGGCGTTCAACAAACAATGCTTCATACCCGCACACTCATGTCATTTATTTGTAACTTATAAGAAATACTTTGTTATTCATTTGTAATTTGTAACAAATACGAGTAAATATTTTGTCCTTCCTGTAACACGTTCGCCAGTATTTGTAATGAATATCTCGTCATTTCCCTGTAACACGTTCGTCCGTATTTTCTTGTAATAAATAGTTCGTCGTTTCTTTATAAGTTATTCGTAATAATCGTTTCCGTGATATATATTCTTAAAATATATTTTGTAGAGTAATCATTTTAGTATATTCCTTTCTTTCCAACTTTTCAATCTTGTAAAATTGATGCAAATACTTTGGAAGGCAATATTAGTGACATACAGAAAATTGGCATTTATTATTAGAGGTTGAAATTCGTTCGATTTGAATTTCCCGCTGTAGAAGCAATATGGAGACTCGCACTTGACTAAACCGGCGTATAACTTGATACAAAATTAAAAATATAATAAACAAATAAATATAGAGAAAATTGACATTTCAGATTATTAGTTGAAATTCGTTCGATTTGAATTTCCCGCGTCTGTAGAAGCAATATGGAGTCTCTTGCACCCTTTGACTAAACTAGCATATAATGTAGGCTTGACACAAAATTAATAATATAGTAAACACATAAATATAAAGAAAATTGCCATTTCAATTTATCAAAGTTTGAAATTCCTTCAATCTAAATATCCCTATAGAATTTAAAGGGACAGATGAAAGGTACCGCCTCATGTACCTCTTTGACACCGAGTATGGTCTCTGACGAAACCCCAAGTTGAAAAGGATTCCGCCGCGATGGCGGCGTAATCGCAGCGGAGACTTAAATGCTCAAGTTTCGCGTCCTTCTCCGACGACCAATGGTGAATTGCAGGTTTCGCTGGGGCCAAGGTGTACCGGCTATTTAGCTCGTGCGAGTTTTGTCGTCGTGCTCGACGTGACTAATGGATTGTCAGGCTGTGACGTGCTGCGTAGGAAATTCACTGCTCCTTCTTTGGCCCGTGAAACCGAGCCGTTTCGACGACCACGACAACGACACGGTTCTCCGTTGTTGATCGACCGTGATTAACGCCGCTAATTAACCGTGGGCTCGTTCGATACGTCGCCCACGTGGCCAGCGTTATTGTGCACCGTGATTGTACATCGTGCGGAGGGTGCATTCGATTTTGTGGATTATTGCCTGTTGCTTATTGTTACCTTAGTGACTCGATTGAGACTCTTGAGGTGGGGAGAACAATGGTCGACTGCGATACGTTGATTGTCAATCTACAAGATTGGAATTGGGGAATATTTTTGGGTTAATTTGTATTTTTGGATGTGTAAAATATTGAAGTAAAATTGTGGGTTTGTATTTTTTGGGGTTCTAAGGATTTTATTGCTGAAATTGGGAGATTTGGAAATTTGGAAAATTAAAAATTTTGCGTTGCTATTTTTTGGGGTCTCAAAGTCATTAATATTGAAAAATGTAGATTTGAGAATTTGAAAAATTAAAAATTTTTAGTTGATATTTGTCTTGAGTCTCAATGTCATTAATATTGACAAAGGTACATTTGACAATTTAAAAAATTAGAAATTTGTAGTTGGTATTCTTCTTGAATCTCAATCTCATTAATATTGAAAAAGATAAATTTGAGAATTGGAAAACTAAAAATTTTGAGTTAGCCAGAAATTGTCCCACTCACACAACCACACAAAAATGTAGCAAATCTTCGAAGTCCACGTGTAAACGAAAGTAATCCAAAAGCAAACACACATTTCTTAAATCACCGTTTAATGTACCGAGTACATAAGCTATTTCAAATATTTACTTAGATAAGCAAACAATTATTTCTTATCTTTCATTCATGCCGCCAACGTGCAGGCTTTACGGGCGTTAAAGTCATCAGATATACGAACACATGTACACAGATCTTATCAAATCCGACGTCGCATTCTTTATTTCGTTTTCTCACAGGAATTAATCGATTCAGATACACGAGTTCACTGTCAAATCAGATATTCAAACTATTCCTTTCCCTTTCCACACGAATACGTTGATTTATATTTGATCTTAATCGTGACGCTATAAATAGACTTCTGCTACATTATTTGATACGGGACTTTGAGTATATTATGAATTCGTTTTGTTCATAAATCATTTTCGGTATTTATGAATGACTCCGTACTTTTTCCATTTTATATATAATAATATACTGACTGGATATTTTTAAATATTCGTTGAATTTGAGGTTACTTTTGTTATAATAACAATGCATTAATATATTAATAAATTTTTGTTACAATAATAATTATGAACGTTTATTATAATAATTATAAGCTTCATCAGATAGTAAAATTAAAGAGAATACAAGATGGCAGCCTTTGACGATGATGACTCCATACTTTTTCTATTTTATTTATACTGATTGGATGTTTTTAAACATTCATTGACTTCGAGGTTATAATTTTTGTTATAATAATAATGCATTCATATATTAATGAATTTTTGGTATAATAATAATTATAAACGGTTATAATAATAATTATAAGCTTCATCACACGTCAATAGTTATAAGCTTCATCAAATTAAACACAATACAAGATGGCCGCTTTTGACGTTCAGCAAATGGTTCCTTTAAACTCTTCCCAGACGCGCGGGAAATTCAAATCGAATTTAATTTCAACCTTGATAATTAAAAATTTGTCATCGTCCATGGTCATATGAACTGTATTATTCCATCTCTCTGGAAGAAGTTTCTTTGTCAAAGTGTAATTTCTTGTATTTACTTGATACAACAAAATACCGAATTGTGAACACGTTAGAAAGAAAGTCCCGTGGAAAGGTGCCGGCACTCCCCTTTCCTTTTTCGCGGGCCCTCAGAGCGGTTCAGTTAGGCAAAGTTGCGGAAGGATAATTCACCGTTGCCCCCTGCCCCCTCTTCAAGGTATCTTTAGTGGCGAGCTATTTGAAACTGGTTTCGAAGCGGCCCTCTGCATCTCCGACGTGGTCATTGCGTAATGAACCAGCCGGCGAAGACGCGATGGTACTCGTACAGTCAGCGGCAAATATGACTTTTCTAGGGAAAATATGGTGACAGGGAGAAAAGAAATTTCTGGCTCGCTGATATTTACGAAGTACTGGTTATTCGAGCGTTTGGATGAACAAGTGGACGGATGGCATTTTCAGATTTAGGGACTAAATCTTAGAGACTAAAATTCTAGGGACAAACTTGGCACTTTGGGATGTAGGGATATGGGGATTTAGGGATTTAGGAATTTGTAGACTTAGAAGTGGAGATATGGTTATTTGGAGATTTTGGGATTTGGGGATATAGGGATTTGGGGATATAGGGATTTGGGGATAT